AAAAAAAAAAAAAAAAAAAAAAAAAAAAAAAAAACTTACACATAAATCTTTATAGCCTCTTTATTCATAATTGCTCCAAACTCAAGGGGGCAGTTGATTCTGATCAAGCAACCAACATATCCTCGATTAAGTGAATAGATAAACTGTAGAACAAAGTGGTATATCCATACAATGGGACATCACTAAGTGGTAAAAAGAAACAAGTTGTCAAGCCACAATAAAAAGAATCTTAAGGCTCGGTGCCTGTGGCTCAAGTGGCTAAGGCGCCAGCCACATACACCCAAGGTGGCGGGTTCAAATCCAGTCCCGGCCCACCAAACAAGAATGACGGCTGCAACCAAAAAATAGCCGGGCGTTGTGGCGGGCACCTGTGGTCCCAGCTACTCGGGAGGCTGAGGCAGGAGACTCTCTTGAGCCCAGGAGTTGGAAGTTGCTGTGAGCTGTGATGCTACAGCACTCTACCCAGGGGGACAGCTTGAGGCTCTGTCTCAAAAAAAAAAAAAAGAAGAATCTTAAAAGCCTGTTGTTAGGTGAAAGAAGCTGGTCTGAAAAGGTTACATACTCTATGATACTGACTATACGACATTCTGAAGATGGAAAAACTATGGATCAGGGGTTCTGGCAGAGGAGGAGGGATAAACAGGTGAACATGGTATTTTTAGGGCAATGAAACTATTCTGTATGATACTGTAATGGTGGTACATGACATTATGCATCTGTCAATACCTATTTAACTGTGCAACACAGTGAATCTTACTGTAAACAGTTAATAATGTATCAGTATTGACTCATCAATTGTAACAAATGTATTAAAGTAAGATGGTAATAGTAGGGGAAACTATGTGTGCGGTGGAAGTGAGTGTATACAGGAACTCTCCTTTCTACATAATTATTCTATAAACCCAAAACAAAATAGTCTATGACAAAGAAAAAATTACGTCTTTGTCATCTTTTGAGACCTTTTTCTCATGAAATATGAATAAGATTCAGCCATATTGGGCGGTGCCTGTGGCTCAAAGGAGTAGGGCACCGGCCCCATATGCCAGAGGTTGAGGGTTCTAGCCCAGCCCCGGCCAAAAACTGCAAAAAAAAAAAAAGATTCAGCCATATTTTTTGTATATAGTTCATTCATTTCACGATTACAAGATTACTTCTGTGTGAATATACTACGCTTTGCCTGCTTTCTCACTCACGGGTATTTGGGTTGTTCCAGGTTTTTACTATTTGAATGATGCTGCCATGAACATCATTTGAACTGTCCTCTGTTACAGATAGGCAAGAGCTTTCTTTGGCTGATTTAGGTCCATATCTAAGGGTGAAATTGTCAAGTCACAAGGTATATGAACATTCGATTTCAATGCATAATGTCAAACTATTAATTATTTTCCCTTAAGTGGGTATATATATTTGCACTCCCCTTGGCATTGTTTAGGAAGTTCTATAAATGGACCCACATTCTCTTTAATGCTTGGTTTTGTCACACCTTTTACATTTCATCAAAGTGTTAGCTTAATGTAGTCTTAATTCATATCTACCTAATCATCTACTGTGTACCTTAATTCACATCATCTATCTAATCTACCAAAATCAATGACTTTGAATATCTCTTCATATTTTATTACCCATATGTGTTTCTTCTTCTGTAAAATGCCTGTTGGTATCCTTTCATTTGTTTGTTTGTTTTTTAGAGAGTCTTGCTTTGTCACCTGGGCTAGAGTGCCATGGCATCATCATATCTCACAGCAACCTCAAATTCCTGGGCTCAAGCGATCCTCTTGCCTCAGCCTACCGAGTAGCTGGGAACTACAGGTGCCCGCCACAAAAGGATTTTTGATGTTAATCCTTTGTTGGTTATGTACATTGCAAATTTCTT